GAAAAATACAGTGCAATTTCAATATTCGATTTGAGACCCTTTTTGACATGACAGTCGTATGCTGTGCCAATTATCAAGCCTATTTCGGTAACGGCACCAAATTAACAGTTCTTGGTAAGTACTACTTCTGCTTCAGTTGGAAACCTTGATGAATATACTGTGTAACTGTTTTATAAGTTGATCATTTCAAGCAACATGATTGAAAACATAAAATGTGTCATTTGAGACAACAGAGAATGCAAATGTATCACAGAACTAAATGTAGTGTAGATTTAGTTAACTGTAAGGGTTATGAAGTTCAAGTAATTTTATCAGTGAGCCTGCATGATGTGCTTTGGAACCAGCCAGGCTATCTTTGGTGAGGGGACAAGATTGACTGTTCTAGGTAAGTACAACAATTTTGTAAGTGTAAAAGACGAATTAAATGCAAGGAATGTGTTTGCTACATACAATTACCAATGGGAATTACATAATATAGTTGAGTAAGGTTGTGTGAGACCTAAGTTTGTGATACTGTCTTGATACTCTGTGCTCAAACACGCCAGCGTATTTTGGAGACGGTACCAAACTTACTGTTTTAGGTAAGAAAAACAATGCTTCTGATTATAAATCTTGTATAAATATTAAGTGGAATGACGCAAAAGCATCAACAATGGTTGGCAAAGTAATATCTTTATTATGTCTAGTGACTGCTGTTTTGCTCAAATTCAGCTCTTGGCTTGTTTGTGACGTTCTACACCACCCAAGATTTGCAAAATATTGTTAGCCAGTGTGTTTGTATCATTTTTTTATTCAGAATGTTAACATTATTATAGCCAGTGTGGTTTAGATGCAGTTAGTATGAAATCTTTAGTTTTTTACAGTCGTTTCACATCAGTGTAATCAGTACAGTTCTGCATACTTTGGCAGTGGGACTAAACTTACAGTCACAGGTGAGACATTTTTTGACAGAATGTGCTGAATAAATATTATTAGGTGCTGACTTTGTGGATAATTCTTTTGGAAATAAGTCTGTAACAGGCCACTGATCAGTGTCCAGACCTGGCAGATATCCTAGACATTTTATTAGTGCTTATGTGTGCTGTGTCAACTACTGCTCAGGCTCATTTTGGCGAAGGAACAAAATTGACTGTACTTGGTAAGAAACACATTTCATATTGTTTAAATGGCAATGCTTAATTAAATATGAGGCTTCTAGTCAAAATTGCTATTTACATGCATTCTGATGGTTATTTCTGACGCAAAACTGAATTTGATTTGATGCAAAAATGTAATTTGAAAAGTAATTTTTGTATTGTGGAATTAGTGATGGCATGTAGATGGTATTAAGAGTAGAGGAAGTTTTATCAGTAGCGTAGAATCAGTGTGAACAACTACGACCCTGCATACTTTGGTAATGGCACCAAACTCACAGTACTAGGTAAGACACATTTTGACTTTATTTTGCATAGTCTTCTGCATCATAGCAAGAAAACTAAGAAAAATGTCTAAGTTCAGGGATATCATTTGACACTGTGATTTAGAAAACATCTTCCTCAGCATAGATAAAATGGCTAAGCATTTCTGAAGTCTTAATGTTTAGACAAACTGCAAGACTTAAGTCCATAAAGTTGGAGTAATTTTATTAGTGCATATGTATGCTGTGACTCTGGCGGAGGTCAAGCTTTCTTCGGCAATGGAACAAAGTTAACAGTTCTTGGTAAGACATAAAACAAAATTTATATTACTAAACTGACCTTTACAAAAATGTACAAAAAAATACTATTATTTTGTAATGTATGCTTAGTAGTTCAACTAAGATAGGATGTTTTCTTATTCTTAACACTTATTAGAGTTAGACAGCATGCTTAGGCAATTGATTGTCAATTGCCATTGTGTTGTGTTCCAAGTTACTAAAAACAAAAACAGATAAATATGTAGGAAATATCTTGAGGAGGTTTCATCTGTAGCATAGAATCAGTGTGATCAGTACAACCCTGCATACTTTGGCATTGGCACTAAACTTACAGTTCTAGGTGAGTAAATTGAGTATATTGATGTTTAGACCTAAGGAAATGTTATTTGTTAAGTACACTATTTAGAGTTTTCAAAATAATATTCCATGTGCATGACATAGGCTTTAGCATTTGCTGTCTTGAGTAAATTTGTTAGTACACATGTGCACTGTGACTCTGGTGCTTCTCAGGCTTACTTTGGCAATGGAACAAAGTTAACTGTACTAGGTAAGAAAAATCATTTAAAAAAAATATGTCAGATAATATGAGTGGGAAAGTCTACATGATCTTGACTATAGCTGAGGTTTTAACTGTAGCTTAGTATCAGTGTGAACACTGGCAGTGTTGCATACTTTGGCAATGGCACTAAACTTACAGTTCTAGGTGAGTGATTTGAGTATTTTGTGTGATATGTAAATCAGAATATTGCAGAAATGTAGCAATGTGATGTTCAGTTGTTTATCGATTTTAATATGCAACCTAAATTATGCTGCTCGTGTTTTGTATTTATGAAATGACGCAAATAAGCAAACTAGGAATGAGTTATCTAAGTAAATTAGCTCAATATAATTAAGCAGCATTCATGGGGCATTTGAATTAAAAAAATGCCTTGGATTTGGCATCCTCAGTGAATTTGTCAGTGCCCATGTATGCTGTGCTCTGGTAATTATCCAGCTTACTTCGGCAATGGAACAAAGCTCACTGTTCTAGGTAAGTATATTAAAAAATGTTCATGCTATTTCATTAATTGCCATAGACATGCCTATGCTAGACAGTACAGCACAATGCGCTGAATTATGTCAAATGGAGGTTAGTAACAATTTACTGTAAACGTTGCTGTGTGAAATCTAAAATTCAATGACATTGAAATTATCTGAATTGGAACACTTCTCAGTAATATTGAGACAATCTTTCTTTAAAATGTGTTAAAAAGCTAGACGTATTGAGGTAAGTAGAATCCTTTATAATTTTGACTATTTGAGGTATTAACTGTTGCATAGAATCAGTGTGACCATGGGTAGTGAAGCATACTTTGGTAATGGAACTAAGCTTACTGTCCTAGGTAAGTAATTTGCATAATATTTCTGAACTTACTAGGATATTTAGGAACACGGTAATATTGAGACAATCTTTCTTTAAAATGTGTTAAAAAGCTAGACATATTGAGGTAAGTAGAATCCTTTATAATTTTGACTATTTGAGGTATTAACTGTTGCATAGAATCAGTGTGACCATGGGTAGTGAAGCATACTTTGGTAATGGAACTAAGCTTACTGTCCTAGGTAAGTAATTTGCATAATATTTCTGAACTTGCTAGGATATTTAGGAACACATTCTGCTCATCTGATGTTCAGGTCTAAAAGGAGATTATTTTTCAAAATGATTTTGTTTTTTTTTGTATATCTCTCTGATGTGTCACTATATTGTAAATCATTGTACTAAAATAATCGTTCTATAGTAGATATTCACAGAACATTCGAGTAAAAACCTGTGCTAGAGCTTTAGCATTTGGTGTCTTGGGTAAATTAGTTAGTGCACATGTATGCTGTGACACTGGTCTTGGTCAGGCTTATTTCGGCAATGGAACAAAGTTAACTGTACTAGGTAAGAAAAATCTAATTATGTTAGATGATGAGTGGCAAAGTCTATATGATCTCGACTGTAGCTGAGGTTTTAACTGTAGCTTAGTATCAATGTGAACACTGCAAGTCCTGCATACTTTGGCAATGGCACTAAACTTACAGTTCTAGGTGAGTAATTTCAGTATTCCGTGTTATATGCAAAACCTTCGATATACAGAAATGTAGCTATGCGATGTTCTGTTAATTATTGACTTTAATATACAATGAATCTTCTAAGTTATGATGTTTGAGTGTTGCATTATGAAATGACTGAAATGAGCAGACTTGCCATAAGTAATCTCGGTAAATTAGTTGGATGTAGTCGAGCAGCATTCATGGGCCATTTAAGCTAAAAAAAAGGGACTTGAATTTGGCACCCTGAGTGAATTTGGTAGTGCAGATGTGTGCTGTGACACTGGTGGTTATCCAGCTTATTTCGGCAATGGAACGAAGCTCACTGTTCTGGGTAAGAATATTCAGAAATGTGCATGCTATTTTATTGATTGCCAATTACATCTTTATGCTAGACAAGGCGCAATGCACTTGACAAATTATGAAAAAATAGAATGTTGCTCTATGATATCTAAAATAATATTAAATTGACTTTAATCGAAACTGGAATACTTCTCAGTAATCTTCAGATAAGCATTCTTTAAAATGAAGTTAGACGTATTGAGGTACAGTAAATAAAATCATCTATGATGTTGACTATTTGAGGTATTAACTGTTGCATAGAATCAGTGTGAACATGGCTAGTGGAGCACACTTTGGTAACGGTACTAAACTTACAGTCCTAGGTGAGTAATTTGAATCATATTTCTGAACTTACTAGCATATTTAGGAACACACCATGCTTATCTGATGTTCAGGTCTAAAAGAAGGTTATTTTTATCAAAATTATATTGCTTTTTTTAAATATCTCTCTGTTATATAAATCACTAAATCACTACTCATTGTGCTAAAACTATTGTTCTGTAGTAGATAGTTGATATTCACAGGGTATTCGAGTAAAAAACTATGCTAGGGCTTAAGCAATTGGTGTCTTGGGTAAATTTGTTAGTGCACATGTGTGCTGTGACACTGGTGCTGGCCAGGCTTATTTCGGCAATGGAACAAGGTTAACTGTACTAGGTAAGAAACAAAAAACAAAAACACTTCTCTATACTATTTAATTGATTGATATTGATAACATTGGAGGTCATTGACAAAAGTCAAATTGCTATATCATATCAAAAATGTATGTATTGGTATTGGATGCACTGACAGTTCTTGAGAATGTTATTATGTCTTAAAAAATTTGGTTAGATGTAGTGGGATAAGGTAAACTGTTTATATGAATCCAGCTGCAGCTGAGGTTTTAACTGTAGCTTAGAATCAGTGTGACCTCTGGCAATCCTGCATACTTTGGCAATGGCACTAAACTTACAGTTCTAGGTGAGTCATTTGAATATTATGTGTGAATTGTAAAGCTTGTTATTTTTTATATGTTATCTAAGATTGTGGAGTAGGTCTAGTCTTTAAGAAATAGATATACTGGGAAACGTGGCAGTGTTCACATGCTCTGCAGTATACTTGAGGTTTTAACTGTAGCTTAGAATCAGTGTGAACTCTGGGTATCCTGCATACTTTGGCAATGGCACTAAACTTACAGTTCTAGGTGAGTCATTTGAATAGGCCTATTGTGTGTGAATTATAAAGCTTAAATATGTTATCTAAGATTGTGGAATAGGTCTAGTCTTTGAAAATGTAACTTGGATACTTGGCAGTGTTCACATGCTCTGCAGTATACTTGAGGTTTTAACTGTAGCTTAGAATCAGTGTGAACAATCTTAGTCCTGCACACTTTGGCAATGGCACCAAACTAACAGTTCTAGGTGAGTCATTTAAACATTATGTTTGATATTCATAACCTAATATTTTAAAAGGATATCTGCAATTTTGGAGTTCTCATGAATCAGAAAAACTGAAAATATGTGCAGTCTTACAAATTAAGTTTGATAAAGTGGGATAAGTGGCAATGTTCACATGATCTCCAGTATAGCTGAGGTTTTAATTGTAGCTTAGAATCATTGTGAACAATCGCAGCCCTGCATACTTTGGCAATGGCACTAAACTTACAGTTCTAGGTGAGTAAATTGAGTAATCTGATATTTAATAATTTTAAAGAATTTTATTAGATTATCTAAAATTATGGTGAATTGAAAAACTTGGACTAGCTAATCCATCTTTTGCAAAAAAATAAATAAATAGTTTAATAAGTGGCTACATTTACATGCATCTGGATTATAGCTCAGGGTTTTAACTGTAGCTTAAAATCAGTGTGAACAATGCCAACCCAGCATACTTTGGCAGTGGCACTAAACTTACAGTTCTAGGTGAGTAAATGGAGCATGCTGCTCTTTAAAAAAAACTCTAATGATTTTGATATTGCATAGTATAAATAGTATATTTAAAATAAAGGTGTCAATTAACTGGAGTAAATAAATTGTCTTTAGGAATAGAGTTAAATATAGTAGGATAATGTTCACATGATCTCCACTATAGTTGAGGTTTTAACTGTAGCTCAGAATCAGTGTGAACTATGGCAATCCTGCATACTTTGGCAATGGCACCAAACTTACAGTTTTAGGTAAGAATATTTGCTTGCTTGTGTTTTTGGTATTTTATCAGTTTGTAAGTTCCAAGAATGTGTGTGTAAAAATGTGACAAAGTCCTTTTTTTTCTTTTAGTTTTGACATGATTCACTTAACACATACAACTATACTTAATTTCAGAGATACTGGCATACAAGTAAAACATTGTCACTGTTCTGAGAACATTGAGTGCTAAAAACAGTGCTGAGTTTTGAGGTCTGGTTCTGAAGTACCAGAATTACTGGTTTAGAAAATAGTCTGCCTTAAGACAAGCTCTTGCCTTACTATGACTAAAATTGTTCATGATATTTAATATGGTGATATGTAAGCTTGTTGTTTTTCTGATTTTTTTTTACTAAATTCATTGTGGTACTGATTAATATGCATGAATATGACACTCAAATGTCAATGGTCTATAGCATTGTATAAAATTAGTATTTTGAGTGTCATATTCATGCATTATAGAATGTAATCAGGTTAAAGTGATAGGAAGAGTTTTACTGTAGCTGTTGAACAGTGTGAACAACAGACCTGCATACTTTGGCAGTGGGACCAAACTTACTGTTCTGGGTAAGAAAGTAAATCAAGTTTTTTTTTGGATAACACTTTAGTTTAGTGACCAATTCTCACTATTAACTAGTTGCTTATTAGCATGGATAACACTAGCATATTGAGTTTTTATTAGTGCAATATTTCGTGTATAATTACAGAATAAGACGTACTAGTATAAAAACATCTCTTAATCCTACCCCATACAAACTTAACAACTACCTTACTAACTGTTAATAAGCAAAATAAAAATATAAAATAGGAGTTTCTTGAGGCAAGAGTTGTAGTTAATAGTTAGTTAATAGTGAGAATTGGACTTTAAAATCCAAAAAGTGTAACCTGATTTTTCTCTCCAATAACTGATTATATGATGTATCTGTTCTTTAGAAACTCTTGCTGTTGTGCACTATATATATAGTGATTTTATAAGCATGTAATATTGCTGATATACTTTATGCTTTATCAAGATTGTTGCTATGAGTTGCATATAACTGAAAGGTGGCGAGTACAGATACACTAGTTGCATTAGTTGTATGTGGTTTTCCTGTTGAAGAAGCAACTGTTCTTAGTAGGATTTTTGTATTGTGTAAAGGGGTTATAAAGGGAATTGTGGAATTTATTTTACAACAACAATAATAATAA